TTCTTCTGTGCAACCTCTTAAATGACAATGCTGCAAACTTTTCACCATCTGCATCTCATTACAGTTAGCTCTTCAGATCCATCACAGCTCACCTAAGTCTGCAATCCAGAAAACCTCAGTAGACTTCCACCTGCCATTCTGAAAAATCTCCAGCAGGCTCAACCCAGCTGCCCCCTGGATTTTTAAGCGGCAAGTAATGTAATGGGCACGTTTTACCCACAAGCTGCCAAACGGCAGCAAAACCGTTCCATGTAGGTGGTCTCGCAAGGTCACAAAGTGACCATAGAATTGCAAGACTGTGTGTGATTTCAGTAGTTCATGATATGACGAGCACGAAGAAAGATGGCAGCATGTATTCAAAAAGGGTTTCTGTTATCTTTACCTCGGTTAAAGAGGTTTCACAGGTAATAACGTACTTTTTTTTTTTTACTAGTTAACCAACTTGAAATCTGCATGTGACTTTTATTTTTGAAAGTTCCAGATGTTTTACACTGCTTTCGTGTTTGACTTCCTGTCTGGCCTGATCTGAACTACTGAGCTTGATGCATTCTAGAAGTGGAGTGCATTAAAAAATAAGACTTTAGGCGTAAGCTTCGCAACCAGTTAAAACGCACCCATCCACTATAATGATAGCTAATTGCTTCCTACTGTGTTTCACGGGCGTTACGCAACGCTTTTACATCTGGTAAGACCCGCTCCGAGTTTATCAGGAGAGAGAGGCGTGGTAACAAAAGAAAAACATAACAGCGTAAAAGGGAGAACGAAAAAATGAATGTGTCAATGGAGGTAAAAGAGCTGTTTTCTAATTCGCTTTGCCTTAGACCCTGGATCACATATACAGTATGCTGTACTTCAATTTAAATGAAAAGTAATGCTGTGTGTTTGAATCACGCCACTTTGAGATTAATCAGCTTGTAGAAGTTCGTAATTAGCATGACTACAAATCAGATATCGGCACGTCACATACATGACGTCACCACAGAATCTCCTCTCTATCGTAGCTGCTACTTACCACATGTTCAGATTTATGGGGGTTCTTTCCTTCTGAAGGGAGGATTTTGCCATTTTCCCTCAGTTTTCCTCCATGTCTGGTTTGATAACATCACTTTTGTGATGCCCTTTTCAAGTCCTGGACTTATTTTCACACAAAACCTAAAATAATGAACTAAGTACCAGTTTTTCCTCTTTGCTGTCATCAAATGTTAATCAGTTCATCTGAAGGAAGGAAATGTAATCAAACAAAAAGAAGGGTGTAATCTGGTCTAATCCAGCTGTTGCTGCCCGAGGCCCAGAGGCCAAAGCTTGTACTTTGTCTCCCGGAGTTGACATCACCATCTTGTCATAAATCTGTCCTCCTTTTTCAGTTTCCTCCTCACTCTTAAGAATCGCAGCTGTCGCTTTTGTCTCTTTTGTCTCTTCTCTGAAATGTCAAAGCATCTCTTGAATCTTAATCCTCCTGCTGCTTTGTTACTCCAGTAAAAGTAGTCACATCCTGGGAAGTTGGGGAGCTTAAATTACAGTGAACTTGGCACAAACTCCTGGTTTTGCACAACCCTCTTCCTCTCTCCTGTCCCTGTCTCAGCCTGCGGGGCAATCCAGTTTGACAGCTTTAGAGATGGCAAGCAGAGGCACATATTCATTGTGCAAACTGTTGCACTTGAGTTGTTGCTGCGCATTGTAGAGCTGTAAAGCAGCTATGAAACATTCTCCTGCACTGATGCACAACGCTGCACTCATTTGTGACCATAACAGTAAATGCATTCAGTAATGGATCCTCTGTCTCTGTGGTTGAAGCCTAATTGAATCGGTAAAATAAATAAATAAATAAAAGGAATGGGTATCGCTTTACAGAGTCCCTGTTAGCGTCTCATAACAAGTCGCCTACAAAGAAGATATAAATCTTTCCTCTGCTAATGGAATCGTTTCTATATGGTGCAACTCCACTTACGGTGAATCAGTACTTTGTGTTTGATCTTTATATCTTTGCTGATCAATACATTAAAGGTAAATGATTAATAGTTTGAAACGATGAAGTAAAACCTTATTGTTCCTTTTGTTGTGTAAAGATCATCATTGTTCACATGCAGTAAATATTAACTCGTTCCACCCACATGTTTCCAAGTAAACGGTGTTTGACTCAGGAGTTTCTGTTGTGATTCAGAGTTTCTATAAATAACTGAAACTGTTACTATGATAAAGACAGCTCATTAGCCGTTTATGATTGCTTCTTTTGGACAAATTAAAATGACTTTAAATGAGATGGTGATTATTTTACACTTCAGATCTATTCTATAGTAACTTTGTTTTTTGTCAGTCGTGACAATTTAGCTTCCTTTACTCGTTGTACAGATCGTGTTTCCAGTCTTTACAGTGAGCTAAATATAAACCGGACTGGCCACATTGCTTTCAAAGCATGACTTTGCCTTTGCCACTGAAAGTTTTCACAGATTAGGAATTTACATGAAACATCCCCTATCCCAAACGCATCCTCTCAAGACCTCAGCTCCCCAGCAGTATTGCAGTCTAGCTGGTCGAACGATCTAACCCAAAGTGCAGTGAAATAGAGCATGTAATCGCTCACTGCCTGTTTGGGACAAAACACAACAACTAATAGGTTAGGTGTGTTTGTGCACAGACAGGACGACCACATAAGTTGATTTTGTGTCTTTGCTGCTCTCTTCTAACATAAGCCTTTCACAAATGCTTCTGTGAGGTGAGTCACTGCTGGTGTTACACATTTTAGATGTTGCTGTAAATTCCAATAAAGGAATTATCTTTTTATGCCAGTTCAGACTCTTAAATTTCCCGTTAACATTTAGCTAGGTTATGTAATAGACTAGCAACACTTTTGAGATTATAACCAGACTAAAGCCCAGCATGAGCCGGGATAAGCAGTTTATAAATTCTGTGCAGGGATGAATGTGGATCATTTTGTAATGACTTCTTTCTTGTGACCGCGGTGCTGAGCCATGCACACACAGCTTAAGGTTATTTAGTGAATATGAATGCAGCGAAGGCAGAGTAGTCATCTTTTACTCCTGCTTTCTGAAGGTAGTTCAAAGTTTTTCTTCAGATTTTGGCTACATTTGTCCAAATGTTATTTCAGTTTAAGCCATTTACTCTGACTTATGAATCATTTAGATGGTGCTAAACTCAAGGGATGAGCCAATGTAGTGTTGCAAGTTTTGTATTTAGGGTCAACAGGCCCGTTTCCACAATCAGAACGTACAGCTAGTTTTACTAGACCTAGCAGCAGGTATGCATTTGGTTTTATTTCACTAGGCTGGCACAGAAGGACCACTCTCTGGGCATTTTCAGGGACCAAACATATACCAGCCTTAGGGTACGCACTTGGAAATGCTCCCGTAGACTAGTCGCTGGGTGGGAATTGTGGTTAACTCATGCTGATTGGTTTGAACTCATTCACTGCCAGCCATTTCCTGATCAGAAAAACCCTTCGCTGCCAGCGTTTTCACAGTTTTTTTAAGAGTCACAGACCGTTGCGCGCTAGGATGATGTCAATGCCAAAACTAAAAAAAAAAACAAAGTAGACTCACTTCTTACATCAGGAAGAATCCGCGCTCTTTGAGCGTTATCCGTTCTTCCATAATCCGTTGTGGAACTGTGATCGGCCGAAGGTTTTCCGGCCTCGCTTTTTTTACAGCAGTGGCCCAAAATGATCTAACACATGGATTTTCTGCTTCCTGGTCACGTGACGTGTGACGTACGTGGATGAAGGTCGCTTTAGAGCTGGGATGTTTGTTCTCATGGTGCGGGGGCTTGTTCCGATGCCCACACAGTAAAAAAATAAAATGCAAATAACGACTTCAGTCGTCATTGGCAGTGAAGGAATTAAAATGACAACTTTTGTCGTCAATGGCAGTTAATGAGTTAACTCAGTGGGAAATTATGTCGACAGATGTCATCAAACAACGAGCATTTGTAAAATCAGAAGGGTTGCTGGTGAAGCAGAATCAAAGTAAATGGAAAATAAGTATAATTGACACTGCTTTGAAGGTTCAATATCATGCTATTTTAAACCTTTGAGAGCAAAGGTAGGCACAAGGTATGATAAAATATTACCATTGGCACTATTGAGATGTAATTAATGTTAAATGAGTTATTTTCATCAGCCTGAAATTATACCCGAAGATAAAACCTTTTATTTCAGTGGAACTCTGTCCACGCCCTCTCTTATAAAACGAACTCCGATTTGCCACATGCTGACGTGGGTTTGACCCCCGGTGGTGTCGGCAGTAATTTATTTAGCCAGCTGAAGCAGATTTCATAGTTTTATATTTTAGTTTTATTGATTATTTTCAGCAAAATATGTTGTGTCTCTAAATATCTTTGAGTTTGGTCATTTCTAAGCTGCATTTTAGTTGATTTACTCAGCTCACCTCACATGGACTCACACTGGCTAAATAAACGGGTTTCAGAACCCAGACACGATTCAGAGGAGGAGCAGAGCCTGGTGTCGGGAGGAGAAAGACCATATTTTCATTCAGGAATTTCGAAATAAAATTCTAAATTTGCAGCTGAAACAGGAAAATGCATGAATTCAGTCGAAAATGTGTTTGGGGGTATTTTTCATGAGGAACCAACAATATCGCATTATAAAGCTCCAAAAAGGGGATTTTCCATGACATGGCCCCTTTGAAATACAAGTTTCTACACTACCATTGCTAATAAAGGGGTGGAAATCTCTTCACAACGCTGTAATTTACACCCCTATTTAGTCTCCTTAGAGTACTGTGGAAAATGGAGTTTCTTCCGGTCATTGAATGTCGCGTTTTACGAAGCGCACGCTGAGAGTACCAAGTCCGCGTATTTTCCATGTCACCTTCTCCTCTCCCTGAAATGTCGTGGAGCTCATCTCTTTGAAATGCTGCTTTTGTTACAAGCAGCTTGTCACAAATACACATTTCTTTGGTTGAATCTACAACAACGCCAAAAAGACTTCCAGATTGTAACATACATGTTGTTTTGGTTGACTCTAGATTTCTTCTTCTGCTCAGGAGGACTCCATGAAAGATGACGGAGGAGGTGATTGTTGTAGCCAAATGGGACTACACGGCCCAGCAGGACCAGGAACTTGACATCCGTAAAAATGAGCGTCTCTTCCTCATCGACGACTCTAAGACATGGTGGCGCGTCCGCAACACCGCCAACCAAATGGGTTATGTGCCATCGAACTACGTCGAGCGAAAGAACAGCCTGAAGAAAGGCTCATTGGTGAAAAACATCAAAGACACTCTGGGTAAGGAAAACGTAGCTTCACACGGCTGCAAAGAATAAAGGCTAGAAATATTTTCAAGGAAAAACCAAAAAATTGATATTATGATTTCCTTTTAACACTTTGGCACCCTGGAGGAGATGAATCCTGCATGCGTGTGCGTGCGCGCGCGTGTGTGTGTGTGCGTGCTTGTGTGCTTGTGTGTGCGTGTGTGCGTGTGTGTGTGTGTGTGTGTGTGTGTGTGTGTGTGTGTGTGTGTGTGTGAATTCTCTCAAAAGTACAATAATTTGCTGCTGGGAATCGTTTCTGTGCTCACTAGGGAGCCTGGTGAGTTGGCCGTTGCTCTCAGCTGTCAGCACAGTGTCGCTCAGTCCCCGGTCATGACTGGAATATATTAAACTCTGGCTGTCGGATTTCAGCTCCCTGCTGGTTTAAAGGAATATGGTGCTTGCAGCAGGTGGAGGGAAAAACTACGTAAATCTTTGAGCTTCTAGAGTGATTTTCAGGCCCTTGGAAGTTATTTTATAGATCATTTAAATAAAACACCTGTTTTTGTTAGTGATTCATGTCATTAATATAATCACCGTTTCCTACTATGTAGTGATTTTCTGATCCACTAACTGCTCAGACCTGCCTCATGATTTTTGTCTTGAGAGGCGCTATAGAAATGATATTTTTTTTCTTCTTCTTCAGGAAGATCTAGCTTGAGATATTTTTATATTGACAGGAATTTTTTGTGTGCAGCTGTTTGCAGGAAACTGTTAGCTCTGAGATTTGATATAAGGAGTGATCGTATTACAACCTGATAAAAGTGCATACTTTCTGGATTTCAGCGTATTTGCATGAAGTAACTGGGAGCAATTAGGATCCTAAACACCACCCACCCAGCTGCTGCTTAAAGGGACTTTACGGAGTTTTGAATTTTTATGCTCGCGATTGCCCCCCTTAGGCCAAATGCGTAACGGCAGCTTCAATAGTAGGCTCATGCACGAGGCGCGCATGCTGTACGTGCACACTTCTTAATGAAAATAACAGCTGAGACAGTCCCGTGTGTGTGTGTGTGTGTGTGTGTGTGTGTGTGTGTGTGTGTGTGTGTGTGTGTGTGTGTGTGTGTGTGTGTGTGTGTGTGTGTGTGCGTGTGTGTGTGTGTGTGTGTGTGTGCGTGCGTGCGTGCGTGCGTGCGCGTGCGTGCGTGTGTGTGTGTGTGTGTGTGTGGGGCACAGAGGACAGGAGAACGTGCAGCTAATTAATAAAATAATGTGGTTCTGTACCTTTCACTTCAGCACAGCCGACAAAGGTTTAAGATGGGTCAGTCCTCCTGCATGCTCAGATCATTCCCTTCCCTTGCTTGAAAAATTGTCCCAAAGTGAAAGTTGAACCCACATCTTTTTTATCTGTGAATTCAATGCCGTTCGGCGAGTCTCTTAATAAATATTTGGGCATCTTACTGTAAAAAAAAAAAATACCATTAATGTAAAAAAGAAACTCTGAATTATGTTCATATCAAGAATCGAACCCGGGTCTTCGCATGAGAGTCAGACATCTTACAAGGTGAGCTACGCTCTAGTAACATTCACAGTATCTGTAAGTTTTAAGTCCTTGATGACACCTGAAACAACGTCAAACCAAAGAATGGTTTGAAGCGAAAATGGCTATTTAGTTGCTAATTTGCAGGAAACATCTAGAAGAAAGTTCTACAGAAAGTAGCTATGGGTCCTCAGAAATGTAGCTAGGTTCGTCACTAGGTGTTAGGAACAGCGACAAAGTGGCACTACCTCACTCTCTGCTGCTAAAGCTACTGATAGCAAATGCTACCGGCTAATGCCTGAGCGTGAACGCGCATGAAGCAGCCTGCTCGACCCGAGCAGCTCTCTTTTTCTGTGATTTTACAGAAAAACAGGCAATCACAGTAAAAATGCCAGGGCTCATTCTACAGGACCAGGGCATTGCAGGAGAATGCATGAAGAAGTTCATTATTTCTATACATGTTTTGGCTGTCAAACTTCCATAATGTCCCTTTAAAGCAAACTAGTGCTGCAGATTTCACCTCCAGCAAGCATCTTCAACATATTAGATGGCGTTGATTTCAGATTTGTATTAACTATGGTGTGTTTTACAGCTTTGCCCCTTTTTTGCTGCAGAGCTGCAACTAAATGAAGACCTTTTTTAACGGTTGCACCATTTTCAGTTGTTTATTTATTAATGAGTCTCTTTCAGTTTGTACTGGTAAGACTGGTAGGGAACGGGAGATTGGGAGAGAAAAC